GTCCCCCCCCCCCCCTCCCCCCCCCCCCCCCTCGGCCGGCCTAAAATGAAAAAAGTGGAGTGTGGGTCCAGGATTTTTTTTTTCGTGTACCCTTGGGGCCGCATAAAATGTTTTGCGCCTACGGCGAAAAGATGTGCGGCCCATTTTTTTTCCCTGCGGTAAGCCGCAGATTGGCCCCCGGGGATCCTGCGCTGAGAGCATATTTTCGAGAAAATCTGCGACCCCGCAGGGCCGCAGGCCCTTTTTTACTCAGTAATAATCAAATAGAGGGGGGTGGCAAGGGTGGGTGTTGCCTGGCCTGCCGCATCATGAACACAAGAATGGCGTTGAATGGGGTGGATACTCTGCTGCTGTGGATTCGAGAAAACACTGTGAGGTCGAGATGTGATTTCTTCGTTATGACCAGCCCTCATACAAGCTTACTAAATCGATCTTTACAGTAGGAGGCAGCACCAACGCACACACACGGCAGCACGACATGGACGTGTGTCCACATGCATGCATACATACAGCAGTACTGTAGTAGGTGTCGAGGCAACTGCACTGTCACTGCAGTCGCTGTGCAGCTTTCCTCTCAGCTGTAGCTACAAAGTAGCTGGCGGTGGGTCAGGTATCGGAAGGAGAGAATATATAGTTTGTTTGGGTGGGATCCTGTCACTTGAGAAGGTCCTACAAGAGTGGTCTCGAGCATTGCGTTTCATGACTCGCAGAGGCCACACATGTGTGAGTGTGGCTGAGAGAGGCATCCCACGCGGACTAAAAGCTTACTGCTGTAGACTATACAGTCACCAACCTGTTGGTGGCAGTCTCTCGATCGGTACCAAGTTCGAAGGGCGCGCTTGAACGGCGATAGAGAAGCCTAGAAAAGGTGGGTTGTGGAACGTGGAGAAGGTCTCCGGTCGTAGATACCGTTTTCGCTTTGACTACTGCTAAGCTCTGGAACGCCAAAAAAAGAAGTGAGCGAGTGCAACAAGGGGCTCTGCAGATGTACCCCCTATGAGAATATCACTACATCACTACACTCCAAAAATATGCAACTCCTTGAAACCGTAACTAATCAACCGTAACATACCGTGCTGCCGTTACAGGAAAAATATTCCAGTAGCCTTTGCTATTCAAGGGCTGGGACGTACGATCCGGCCGATACGTGGCTGTTACGCCTGCCATCGAGAGGAAGCCCTGCTGCCTTGTCGACGTTAAGGTCGTTCCACCTGTAGCCGCTGTGCACTGTCGGGTTCTGTCCCAAGAGGCGAGCATGGAAGGCGTCGACGAGAGGCCACAAAATCGCCGGGCCTCTCGAACCTCGGAGAAGCGTCGTCGCCGAGGGCGTCCAGCAGCAGCCGGCAGAACAGCCACGAGTAGGTCTGCGCCCCGGGTAGGTTTGTGGCGATGTAGGACTCCCACGTCAACATCCCGTCGCGAAACTCGGGCACCCACTCCCGGTGATTCCGGCTCCGGTCGCCGCCGCTTGCGCCCCTCGCGAAGGAACTGACGGCGACGCAAACGGCCAGGAGCATGCCCTCGGCTCGGTCTGGCGTCGTGCCTGGCCCGGGGGGGACTCCCGTCACACTGCCTATCTATCTCCGAAGCTGAATCACCCAGCCGCGTCGCGCATGGCCTTTGAGCGTCTCCCGTCACACAGCCTATCTCCGAAGCCGTAGACCATCACCCCGGCACCCCCACCTGTGGGGAACAGCGCATTGGGAACGAGACGTTCACGGACGATCGCAACGCGGACGAAGCAATGGCGACGGAATCCGTCCGTGCACGTCAAGTTACTTCTCGCGTTCGAAGGCAACGTGGAAGGAATATTCGGAAAAAAGAAGATAACAGGGCATATATATGCGGCACCACGAAGAGAGTGTGCAGAGCTACAGCAACATGTTTTTTTTCGAACGCACAGCTACATAAATAGTCTATTAGTTCCTAGCGAATCAACACGCGCAGGCCCTGTCCCACTCAGCACGTCCGACCTCGCCATGCTATTGTATCGCTCACTCAAGGGTTGGTCCCGTCGCTGAAGCAATCGGAAACCATGGACGCAGCCGGAGCCCTCACGGGAAGCTACCTCTGCACTCTCAGGCGAAGCTTCCGCATCCGATTCGGCACCCGTCAAGGTCCCATTCCCGGGTCGGCCGCGGCAGAACGTCATTTCATCTTCACCAGGCCAAGCTCCAGCCCCGACCGCTGCTTTACCCTCGGCGGCGTCAACGAGGGCGGGGAGGCCGGGGATGAATTCCTCGGTTCGGTCCCGCGTAGCGCCTGGTCCGGTGGTATCTCCATTAGCACTGCTATTCTCCGAAGCGGTTTCACCCCGGGGTGGAGTACCCGGCACCCCCACCTGTGGGGAACAGCAGTGGAGCGAAGGACGCATGGGGAACGAGACGTTTCCC